AGCAGGGCCAGTCGGGGTGGGGGGGTGGAGGGGTGGGGGCTCTGCACAGGGAGCAGGCAGTCAGGGGGTGGGCCTGGCTCTGCACGGGGAACAAGGAGCAGTCGGGGTGTCACGGGTCGGAGGGAAGCAGGGAGGGGTCTGTAGTGGGGGGGGGGGATGTCAGGGACAGAAGGGGCCTGGCTCCCCCAAGCAGCCCCCCCCCCACTCGGGGTGTCACGGGTCGGAGGGAAGCAGGGAGGGGTCTGTAGTGGGGGGGGGTGTCAGGGACAGAAGGGGCCTGGCTCCCTCAAGCAGCCCCTCCCCCAGCATCCCAGCCCTCGGAGGGCGATTCCAGGGGCTGCTCGTTGCTCCATGTCCCGTCGGCCCCTCTCCTCTCGCTTTGACCATTGGCTGTTGCTGCCAAGGGGGCAATGGCCCAGCCAGACTGCGTCAGACCCACCGGCCAGGGTCCTCTCTCTGGCAGGGCCACCCCAGAGGCTTCAGGGAAAGGGGTAAGAACCCCCCCAGCAGGTGTCTATGGGATAATCTGCCTCCGCAGAGCTCACATCCTGGGCTCGTATTTAGAGACTGGCAAAAGTCCTGAAGAATGATGTCCAATAATTAATAGCCCTTCTAGAATTCTGCTGTTATTAATTATGCTCACTCTGCCTGTGTCTGTACCCATATCACTCTTCAGACCCTTTGCAATGTTGTTCATTTCTTTGCCTCAATAGCTTCCTCTGGCAGGGAGTTCCACAGGTTAAAACATGTTGTGAGGGGGAAAAATCTTTCCCTTTGTCAGCTTTCACCTGTTTCGCTCCTAGGTTCACGGCCAGGAAGGGGTCAAATTCCAGAACTGGGCTCAGACGTATGGCTCCTCCCCCGAACTGTACTTCCAGCCGACATCGGTGGAGGAGATCAGAGAGGTGAGGAGGAGGCCCCCCTCCGCCCAGCAATGCCGCACGCCCCGCTTTGTGTGTCTGTGTGTACAGATCCCTGCCAGAGGGACGTTTCCACCTCGTGCATCTGACGAAGTGGGCTCCAGCCCTCGGAAGCTTCTGCCCGAATATGTTTTTGGTCTGTGAGGTGCCGCAGGACCCCGCATTGTCCTGAGCAAAAAGCAGCAGGGGAGGGGGAGCGGGAGGAGAATCTGCCTCTGCGAAGCAAAACGGCCTTTTTAGACTCGGGGCTCCAGCCCTCGGAAGCTTCTGCCCGAATATGTTTTTGGTTTGTGAGGTGCCGCAGGACCCCGCATTGTCCTGAGCAAAAAGCAGCAGGGGAGGGGGAGCGGGAGGAGAATCTCGGGGTGACATTCTGGGGGTCGCCGCAGGAGGCCTGGGCCCCCTGCAATCCAGTGAAGCCCTGATGTAAGGGTGCCTAGACCTCCCGTGGCCGTCTGCGCAGACACACCGCCGCACAATGAGCCGGGGATCCCGTGGGCTTGCAGGGCTCCGCACGGGCGCTGTTGTGACGCGCTGCGCCTTCTAGTGTCCTGGAGAGCACAGCCGTGTTACCGCACGCACCCCCCATGTGTGAGTCTCATCTGGCTCAAATGGGCTCCTGGCTGCTTTGGGGTGCAAGTGTCCTGGGTTCGAGTCCCGTGGGTGGCTGGTTCTCTCGGGGTTCTCGGTGCCCTTGCAAGGGAGACAGCCTGCAGGGTGATGTCTTTGCAGATTTTGGATCTGGCCCGGCAGCGGAGCAAGAGGGTGAAGGTGGTTGGGGGGGGCCATTCCCCTTCCGACATTGCCTGCACGGATGACTTCATGCTTCACCTGGGGAAGATGAACAAGATCCTCAAGGTACGGTGGGTCCCTGCTTTGCCAGGCGGTGGGCTGTCTCCAGAGCGTCACGGGGCGGGGACACGTTGGGGTCAATGAATGAACATGAGAACGGCCGTACTGGGTCAGACCAAAGGTCCATCTAGCCCAGTATCCTGTCTGCCAACAGTGGCCAGCACCAGGTGCCCCAGAGAGGGTGGACCGAAGACAATGATCAAGCGATTTGTTTCCTGCCATCCATCTCCAGCCTCTGACAAACAGAGGCCAAGGACACCATTTTATCCCCTGGCTAATAGCCTTTTATGGACCTAACCTCCATGAAATTATCTAGCTTCTCTTTAAACTCTATTATAGTCCTAGCCTTCACAGCCTCCTCTGGCAAGGAGTTCCACAGGTTGACTACACACTGTGTGAAGAAGAACTTTCTTTTATTAGTTTTAAACCTGCTACCCATTAATTTCATTTGGTGTCCTGT